CTGTCCCCAGATGTCCCGGGTGTGGCACAGCTGTCCCACCCCGTCCCTGTCTCAGATCTCTCAGGTGTGGAACACGACACTGGTGCAGGTGCTGCGGGCGCTGCCCGCGCTGGGGCTGCCCCGTGCCGGGCGCCAGGTTCGCTCGGTGGAGCAGGAGGTGCTGTGGCGGCTCCGGCGGCTCCCCCTGCGCCACCTGGTGCAGCTGGCAGAGCACCTGGCGGGGCACAGGGACAGCCCCCTCCTGCCCGAGGTGCTGCGCAAGCTGGAGCTGCGCTGGACGGAGCTGGAGGGGACGCGGACCGTGGTGACGCTCATGGCCAAGGTGGGACACCTGGCACCCGCCCTCATGGAGCGCCTGGAGGACAAGGTGGGACCTGTGCACACCTGGGCGCTGCGGGGGGCTCGGGGGACACCTGGGCGCTGACCGGGCACGTGGGACACCTGGGCACTGTTCCCCCCTCTCCTGTCACCCCCGTGCCAGGCTCTGGAGCTGGCAGAGCAGCTGGATCGCGAGGGGATCCCCCCTCACCTGCCCCCTGTCTCCTCTGTCCTCCTGTGCCAGGCTCTGGAGCTGATGGAGCACTTTGATCCCGAGGGGATCCCCCCTCACCTGTCCCCTGTCTCCCCTGTCCTCCTGTGCCAGGCTCTGGAGCTGATGGAGCACTTTGATCCCAAGCCCTGCTTTGATCCCCTTCGCCCGCTCCCCCTCACCTGCCCCGCTTTCCACCGGCTCTGGAGCTGGTGGAGCAGTTGAACCCCGAGGGGATCCCCTCTCACTTGTCCCCTGTGCCCTGTCCCCTGTCCCCTGTGTCCCCAGGCCCTGGAGCCACAGAGCAGCTGGGTGCCGAGGGGATCCCCTCTGAGCTGTGCCCCTGTCCCTGTCCCCAGGCCCTGGAGCTGGCGGAGCAGCTGGATGTGGACGAGATCCGGCGGATGGCCGTGGCCCTGGCGCTGCAGCAGCGCCGCTGTGTGCCCCTGCTGCGGGCCCTGTCCTACCACCTGCTGCAGAAACCCCCCGAGCTGGGGCTGCCCGTGCTCACAGACCTGCTCTTCGCCTACAGTGAGTGCCAGGGGCACCCGGGCACGGGTTTGGGGACGGATCCCGTGGGATGGGGCTGGGAACCACCCGGGCCGGTGGCAGGTGGGGGGAGCCGGGTGAGCTTTGAGGTCCCAAACGTTCCCGTGGGCCGTTCTCTGGCCAGGTGGGAGAAGGGAATCCAGGGAGCCCGAGGAGCTCTTCTCCAGTGGGTTATCCCGATCCTGGGGGTGGAACAGGGGCGTTGTATGTTACCTGTGTGCTCCAGGCACGAACACCTGCACACCTGGGAGCTCAGTGTGAGCCCATTCCAGGTGTCCTGCCACTCCAGGTGTCCCAACTCCATCCCCAGCACACCTGGAGCCCCTTTAGACACCAGGGCTACTTGGGGCCATTTGTCCCTCCCAGTGACACCAGTTCTTCCCAGTGGCACCAGTCCCCCCTGGTGACCCCCAGTTCCTCCCCGAGCTCAGGTGAACTGGGCGGTGTTTCCACCCAAGGCTCCAGGTAGCTGAGGGGGGAATTCCCCACCCCTAGCCCTTCCCAGTCTGTCCTGGTCTGAGAGGCGACTCATACTGGTCTGTACTGGTGCCAGGCACGCTCTGTGTGAAAGGGGCTCTGAGGTCTCCCTGGAGCCTTCCCTTCTCCAGGAGACCATTCCCAGCTCTCTCCCGTGTGCTGGGGTGCCCGGCTGGGCTGGGGGCACTGGGGGACGTGGGTGCCCCCACGCCCTCAGCCGTGCCCGTCTGCCCAGGTAAGCTGAACTTCCAGCAGCCCCAGGTGCTGCACAGGCTGTCCCTGGAGCTGCAGCCCCACCTGGGGGCTCTCACACCTGCCCAGGTGTCGCGCTGTGCCCGCTCCTTCGCTGCCCTGCGCTGGCTCAGCCGCCCCCTCGCCGAGGGCATCGCACAGGTGAGGGCTGGGGGCTGCTCACCTGGCTGGGGGGCTCCTCTCACCTGGCTGGGAGGCACTCACCTGTCTGGGGGGGCACTCACTTGTCTGGGGGGTTCCTCTCACCTGTCTGGAGGGGCACTCACCTGTCTGGGGGGTTCCTCTCACCTGGCTGGGGGGTTCCTCTCACCTGACTGGAGTGGTGTCACCGTTTCCCAGCAGGGACTGGGGGGGCACAGCCGGTGGGAGGTTCCCCTCACCTGTCTGGGGGGTGGAGGGGGCAATGGGGACCCCTCACCTGTCCAGGCTGTGTCACCGTTTCCCAGCAAGAATCAGGGATCATTTTCCTCTGGATTCAGCTTGATCTGGAGCCTCCAGCCCCGGGTGCTGGCGCTGCTCCTCTCCCAGTTTCCTCCCAGTTCATCTCTTGTGCACTTCCCCATCCGTACAGGAATATTCCAGAGCTTCCCCTTGTACCAGGATAAAACCCCAGGGAAGCACCAAATGATGCTTCATTCCTGTTTTCTCACATTGGGGCGTGTCTTTGGCCAATGTTTCCAAGCTTTTCCTTACTGCTTCTCTCCCAGTTCCTCCCAGTCATCCCCGTGCTTTTTCCCATCCATACCAGGGTATTCCAGAGCTTCCCCTTGTACCCGGATAAAACCCCGGGGCTCCCTCACTCCCATTTCCCCACCCGGGAGGTGTCCCTGGCTCATGTTACCACTGTTCCCTCCCGGTGCTGTTCCAGACAGCCCCAAATTCCCGTTTTTCCCGCAGTATTCCCTGGATAACACCCAGGACATGTCTGTCACCCACCTGTGCGCGATCCTCGTGTCCTTCGCCCGCCTCAACTTCCAGCCCAGCTCCGGCGAGGAATTCTTCACCATGGTGACTTCTCTGGGAATCCCGCAATTCTGGGGTGCTCTTGGTGGGGGCAAGGGATGTCAAAGACTTCCCACAGCCATGGATTCTGTCCCCAAATCCCCCCCTTTTCCCGTGTCCCAAATCCCTCCCAGCTCCCCCTTCAGGCAGAGCCCCCCCAGCTCTCACCCGTCCTCGGAGCACAGATGTTCTCCTGGCACATTCCCGTGGGGAAGGGGGTGTTGGATGGCTGGATCCATGGATTGAGGGACCAAGGGATCACCTGAGAAGGGCCCTAAAGCCTCACCTGTGCAGCACCCTGGGGGGACAGCGGGGACACCCGGGGACACCCGTGGCTGTGGTCGAGCTCCCCTCCGTGTTCTCCCCGTCCCAGCTCCACGAGCAGCTCCAGGGGCAGGTGCAGCAGCTGGATCCTCACGTGCTGACGGACGTGGTGTGGTCACTGTGTGTCCTGCAGCAGGCCCGGCCCCCCTACCTGCGCCAGGTGCTCGCCCCCGACTTCCACACCCGCCTCCAAGGTGAGGGACCCACACGGGGGCTGAGGGACCCACACGGGGGTGAGGGACCCACACGGGGGTGAGGGACCCACACGGGGCTGGGCCCTCCAGCTGGGACCCAGGGAGCCACCAGGAACCCTGGGGATGGGGGGGTTACCTGTCCTACAGGGGGTGCTGGGGGGGGTTACCTGTCCCACAGGTGGTCCTGGACAGGTGCAGCCCAGTCAAATTCGGTCCCTGCCCCGCCCATGGCTGGGACCGGCCACCGGCTGCCACAGCAACCTCCGTGCCCACGAACCCCAGGTCCCCGTCCGTGAGACCTGGGGGGTGAATCCCACTGGAGACACGAGATCAGGGAATGCTTGGGGCTGGGAAGGGCTTCCCAGGTGCTGGAGTTCACCTGTTCCCCCACCCCTGGGGACACAGCCCATGTCCCAGCTGCCACATCCACACCTGGGGCTGGACACCTGCCCTCTCCAGGAGGAGCATTCCCAGCATTCCATGTGCCCCTGCCTTGGTTCTCCCGTGCCGTGGGTGTCCCCCGAGCCGTCCCCGCTGTCCCCACAGGTGACACGTCCCCACGGGCTCAGAGCTCGTGGCAGAAGCTCGTGCACATCAATGCCACGGCCCGGCTGGAGACCCCGGGCTACCGAGGGCCCTTCCTGCCCCCCGAGGCGCTGGGGGGGGACGGGGACGGGGACAAGGACAAGGACAAGGCCACCCCCCTGCAGCAGGGGCTGCGGGAGGCGCTGCCGGGGGCCCTGGGGGGCCGCGACCTCGGGCGCTACGACGTGCACACGGTGTTCGGCTGGGACATCGGTGAGCGTCCCCTGTGCCACCCCATCACCTGCCCAGGGCACCCCCTGCCACCCCCAGCCCTGTCACCCCCAGCCCTGTCACCTGCCCTG